AAGAAGAAGGTAATGCCCTGTGCTGGCAGCAAATGATGCCCTGGCCTGTCTTGCTTCCTGCTCCTAGAGAGGCAGCGATCTCTCACACTAGGAGGCTGAGGGTACTAGGCAGCCCAGGCTGGGGAGCTCCCAGCCCCAGGGTGCCCGCCCCACCTGGGCCCCTGTGTTGGGCAGGCTGGGTCCCCTTAGCTGTGTGCTTGGGGTGGGGTGGGGGCCACCAGAGACTCTGGCCCATGTCCTGGTGCTCCATTTCCTCAGCTACAGGCAGGGCACTGTGTTCTTGGGGGCTGGTGGAGGTGACATTTGCAGCAGCCCATGTGAATGGCGTGGCCCTGGGCAGCCCTGGCCCTTGAGCTTCGGTCTCCCTTCTGTAAGAGGCGGTAGGCCTCTCCAGCTGTTTCCTGCCTGTGCTCAGGTTCTGTGGAAGCCACCTTGCTAGCGCTACTGTGGTTTCATGGGGTGCAAGGAGTGTGGTCTTGAGTCCTTGTGCAGGGATCTGGCCTCAAGGCCTGGTTTTTCTTCTTGGCGGTCCTGGGAAGGGGTGCCTGGGGGGTGGTGGGGTGGTGGCGGCCGCACAGCACAGCTTTGTCCCCAGGCAAGCCTGATGGCTAACTGCCAGGCACCGCGCAGGCCCTGGTTGGCCTCCCATATGAGCACCGTATTCCTCACTCTGCTCTGCTTCCCATCCTTCCTGGGGGCCGCCGTCTTCCTGTGCTATGCTGTCTGGCAGTGAGTAGCGACTGGTGGGCACCGGGTGGCTGGGAGGCCGGTGTTCCTTGTGCCATTGTGGGGCAGTGCCATAAGGGTCTGGGTTGGGGAATTCTGCAGAGGTTGCCTTTGTCGGGCTAGGAGGGAGCTGTCACAGGGCCATGGAGCAGAGGTCCTGGCTTCTTTCCCAGGGTGAAGCCCTCGGACACCTGTGGCCCCTTCCGGAGCCTGAACCGCATGTATGAGGCCGGTACCATGTGGGCACGGCACCTGGAGCAGGTGGGCCCTGGGGCCTCATGGCTGTCCTGGCTGAGCCGGTACCTAGTGGAGAACACCTTCTTACTCTTCTTGGCATCGGCCCTGCTGTTGTGAGTTCTGGGTGGGATTGGGGCCTCCAGGTCAAACAGCGGGGGAGCAAGCAGGGAGTGTGGATCCTGTCCTGGCCCTGCCTTGTCCCGGCCTGCCCAGGCCACCAGCCTGACTGCCATCTCCCATAGGGCGGTCATCTACCTCAACATCCAGGTGGTCAAAGGCCAGCGGAAGGTCATCTGCCTCCTCAAGGAGCAGATCCGCAATGTGAGTCCCTTCCCTGCTGCCTTCTGCTGGGACGGTCTGGTTGGGTGGGAGGGAGTACCAGCTACTTTAGGGCATGCTGCTGTAGTGGCCCTGCTGTATAGACGGTGTCTCTGTGGATTCTGAGACATTGGACTTCCTGGGGTACACATGGATCCTGGCGAGTGCTGTCATTTGATGAAGAGGTGGAGTGGGATTTGTTTACTTACAAATTTTTTCCATACCCCTGGAACCAGGGATTGAACTCAGGCTCTTGCATTTGCCAGGCAAGCGCTTACCCTACTGAGCCATCTCCCCAGCCCCACAAATTTTGAAATGTATTTATTATTCTTTTGTTTTGGGTGCTGGGGATTGAACCCATGACCCTGGACATGGGAGGCAAGTGCTATGCCACTGAGCTCTACTCCAGCCTTGCTTTTTTTCTTTTTTTGGAAGGCTCTCATTATGTAGTTCATGCTAGCCTTGAACTCACTGTATAGTCCAGGCTGGCCTTGAATTCATGTTGATCCTCCTGCCTCAGCCTCCTAAGTGTTGGGATTACAAGTGTGTGCCACCATGCCCAGCTTAAAACATTTTTAAGGGGGCCGGGGAGATGGCTCTGTAGAATAAAAGCTTCCCTGGCAAGCACAAGGGCCTGAGTTCAATCCCCGGTTCTGCCAAAAAACCCCAAAACAAAACACATTTTTAAGTAGAGGAGGTAACACTTTTTACAGTGCACGATAGCTTGGCACAAAGGAATGAGTGGGGGAAAGAAGGAATTCCCAGTGGCTTAGGACATGCCTTCCCACGTAATGCCCTACACTAGCCCCCTGAGTTCCGCATAAGCTGGATACAGGAGACCTGGCTGGTCACTTGGACAGGCCCCCTCACGGACTGCGCTGGCACAGTGAAGGCCTGGCCTTTCCCAGGCTTTGTGTCCACAGGTATGGGCAGGCTGCTGGGTGGGAACGGCTGGTGACAGGGTCCCTGATGAGGCTCCAGCTCCCGCCCAGGGCCTGCCTCAGTACGTGGTGTCCTTTCCTTCTGCCATGTGCTTGGCTTCGTCAGGGTTTCTCTGCCATGACTGGGCTGGGACTTCCTCCTGCCACGAGCTCCAGGTCTTGGAGGAGGTTTGGGGCGGGTGTCTGCTGCAGGTTGGCCGGTAGGAAGGTGTCTTGGGGCTGCTCTGGCACCCTACAGTAATCTGTAGGATTGCAAAGACTGCTGTCCAGGCTGACCTTGACCATGGGGTCTGCTTCTTGGTCCCAGCAAGTGCGCAGCCTCTGTCACTGTCAGCAGCAGCTTGCTGGGAAGAGGAACACTATTGTTGCTGTGGAGCCTGGGTTCCTCCTCATAGGTGTTCTCAGAAGTTCTCCCGGGCCGAGCCCAGTCACCAGGGGCCAGAACCAGCCCCGCTGGCCCCAGTGCTTTAGGGAATATGTTCAGTAAGGTGCCCCTGCCCAGCCCCAGACTTGTGACCGCTGACAGCCTTGGGTACCTGCACCAGATCCTGTACCAGATGTGTTGTATGCTTTTCACGTTGCCTGAAGAGCAGGGGACCCAGCAAACTCACTGTTCCCTGCATGGCAGGAGCTGGGGTGGAGGCTGCATGTCGCTGACCCTTGCAGGGTCATCAGTGACAGGGCAGGAGGGTTGCTATGGTGATGTTGGGATGTGACGCACCATCAGCCACTGCTGGCTTAGCAGGGGGGGAAGAGGCTGTGAGTCGGGACTGGCTTTGCTCTAGGAAGTGAATGGTCCCTTAGGGCTGCTGGGTGGCACGCAGCCCGTGACACCTTGGATTTAAGTCTTCTGACCGTCAAGCCTGAAGCCAGTGTGTGATGTTTTGAGCCACTAAGTGTAGTGTATAGTAATATGTTACAGTAGCCCTGAGAAACATACACCAAGTCCCCCGCTTGTACCACCCTCCTCTGTCAAGGGTGGCACTGAGGACAGGAAGCAGGCAGTCAGCCCAAGATGCAGTCCTAAGTGGCAGGGCCAGTTTGAAATTTGAGTGGAACTGGCCCTGGGGCCCTCACTGTGGCGAATCACATTTCCCTTTTCACTTTAGCTACTAGGAAGCTCAAATCCACTTTCTGCCCCTTTTTTTTTTTTTTCTTTTAAATTTTGGTGCCTCCTTGACTTTTTTGCCACTTGTGATGTTGACTGTCGCTCTTCAGCGCCCCCGCTGGCAGTCTGAAACAGGCTGGCCCTGCAAGGACTGAGGGATGGTCAGCTCTGGTTTCTGTTCTGTCCTTTCTAGGAGGGGGAAGACAAAATCTTCTTGATCAACAGGCTTCATTCTGTCTATGAGAAGAAGGAGAGGAGCAGGTAACAGGTCAAGCAGGGGCTAAGGCCTGTGTGGCTGGATGGGGCTGGGGCTGCTCTGCCAACTTCCTGCAGTGGGACAGCGGTCCCCCACCCATCCCAGACCTGGGGAGGGGAGCTGTTGGGGTGGGCTGGGCGGGGAAAGCAGAGACGGAAGAGCCCTGCCTCTCAGTATAACCCGAGGCTTGCCTTTCTGCCCCCACGGTGCATCTGCTCTCTAGGTGAAGGCTACGGATGGGGGGCACTGAACTTCCTGGTCGAGGCCTTCCCAGCTGGCCATCGTGGCCCAGACAGTGGAAGGAATGGTGGTCTCACACCTTCACCTTCCTGGCAGGCGGGGACAGCTCGGGCCACACTGTTGTGAGCGCTTGTGTCCACACACAGGCCTGGTCTTCCCACCACCTGCACCCCGCGGGCTGGGGGAGCCCTGTGTTCGTGTCCTCGCCCGTGCCTACCAGGGCCCCTCCCCAGCAGCAGAAACCGCGGCAGCCATGGGGTGCTAACATCTTGCTGCGTTTCGTATCAGGAAGCATCTCAGAAAAAGTCCTGATTCTGTCACTTAATGAACAAATACTTGGGGCTCTGAGCTGGCCTCAGGGACGTTAATGAAGCGTGTGGGCCCTGCCCTCTGGCCTTCCTAGAGTTGCTGTAAGGCTCTGTCCTCAGTTTCCCTATGAGAAGGAATCCAGGGAACCTTGAATTGTAGACATGCACACACTGCTGTTGGCTGCAACCTGGGAAACTGCCTGGGTCCCGCTACCCAGGACCATGGAGGCAGCAGTTTCCTGTGGTGTAGCCCTTTTCCCCAAGCAGACACATCTGATGAATTAGGGGTACCTTCACCACCCCCTGCCAACCCTCTGACCACTTTCTAAGGCCCTCAGCCTGCAGAGGTTTTGTCAGGGACTTAGAATGCATTTCCTGAGAACATGCCAGGCATGGGCCACGTGGAGGTCCAGCTCTGCCTGTCCAGAAGGACATTGTTGGCTCCTCACTGGCTTTCCCATCCAGCAGGGCTGGTAGAGCTGTGGAGACTGCATCACCCACCCTGGTCACAGGTGCTCGGGACAAACGATAGGACGGCAAGGACTCATCTAGAACCCGCTACTCTCAGTGCCATGGCCCTGCGGGCAGAGACGTGGACCTAAGGCCCGAAGAGACACCAGGATGGTGCAGTGATGGCTTCTCCTATAGGCTGCAGCTGGGCCAAGACAAAAGTGGATGGGTGGGCAGGTGGGCTTGGGTTCCCCCACGGGATCCTTCCTTCCCCCACCCAGCTCTGCCCTGCCCTGTCCTGCTGGGGAATTTTATTTATTCCAATTAAATGGATTTTGCAAAATGGGTTTGCTTTGGGGGGAGGTTGGGCCTGCCCACAGCACCTCTCACCACTGTGGGATCCTCAGCTGGGAGTGGCACCCCAGAGGCTGGCCAGAGGGCCAGGGTCCATGTGCACAAGAGGGCCAGGTAGGTGATGTTTAGTGTGGCACAGGGAGGGAGGCAAGTTTAGGGAGGGACTCTGGGGATAGCGTGAGGGGCAAGAAGTAGGCAAACAGGGCTTGGAGGTGGGCAGCGCCTGCCAGATGCCTGGGGGTCTGGCCTGACAGGCTGAGCTTGAGCTTGCGGGGTGCGCTGAATTCGTGGCTTCAGGGAGGAGGGGCAGCTTGTCTTCACACCGAGGAGAGGGTGGCAGGCCCCACTTTTTGCCCCAAGTGGCAGCAGGTGGTGTTGCTGCTAGCTGTTCCCTTCTGCTGTTCCTGCTGGAGGAGTCTTGGGGTGCTCTTGTGTGTTGTAGACATGCAGAGGCAGATGCCATAGGCTGGCTTGGACCCTGGTGCTCACCGATGTCCACTGGACTCTCGTGGGCCTGTTGGCAGCGGGAAGAGTTTGCTGGCCTTGCATGGCTGATGCGTCCAGGGGTGCTGTGGGACCTCCGCAGGCAGCTGGTGCTGATGCTGCCACCATGGCGCCGAGTGAGGCCGGGTGGGCAGTACAGAACGTGGCTGGCCTGGAGCCCTGGGGCCAGGCCCGCTCGATGCCTTCTTCACCTGTGGTGGTCTGCAGGGGTCATTGCCGGCATCATCAGCCTTGGTTTATGTCAGCTGCCTCAACTCCACAGGACCGGGACGGGAGTAGAACTGTCCCAGGAAATCCTGTAGAACTGCTGTGCTTGCTGGGCCAGGCTGCGGCTCCCAGCAACTTCCTCCCGCTGGAATCTGGGTGCTGCTGTGAGGGCCAGGACAGGGCCTTTGCATCCAGGTCAGCTGGCAGTGGAGGAGGGGGTCCTGGTGATGGAGCAAAGCCGAGTTCCCAGAGCCACTCCTGAGCCTGTCAGCGCCCCGCATGTTTTAAACTTGCTGGCTCCCAGTTCTGTCTCCTGGTTCTGTTCCTGGATTCAGTGTAGCCTTAAGATCCTCTTGCCAGAAAATTCGCCTGTCTCTCCTGTGCTAGCCTGTGGTGTGGTGCTGGCTAGCTGGATGGCCTTGGGTATGCTCTGTGACCCAACTCTGGTTCCTCGAGGACCTTGGGGCCACTGCTGTAAAGGCGCAGCTCCTGTAAGCACTTACCACCATGCCAGCAGAGGTTTTCTAGTTTTTTTTTTTTTTTTGTGGTGCCGAGGATAGAACCCAGCACCTTCTGTGCGCCAGGCAAGCGCTTGGATGCTGAGCTACACCCTCAGCCCCTGCACTTCCAAGTTTTGCTTTACGGAGAGAAAGGAGAAAGAACGCTAACCGACTCAAGCCGCAGAAAGTGCAAGCTGCTCTTTGGAGGGGTGGGAGGTACACAACAGGCTAAATGGCAGGGCTCTGCTAGGCCACTGCTGCACAGCAGAGCCCACGGGGACACTGGAAAACACTGGTGCCTTGCTGAGTGGGGGGTGCCTAGCATGGGATTCTACACATCTCGAGGTAATTTAACATGGGCTGAGGCTGGGAAGCTTGGTCACAAGCGGCCCACCGAGTCCGAGGCTGCCCACATAGGTCGTCTGTACAGCTGCAGAGCCGGGCTCCCTGCGCAGGCATGTTCCAGGGTTGGCAGCAGCAACTCTACCACAGAACAGTGATGGCTGAGCTGGAAACCTAACTGCATGTTTCCACCACTATCCTGGGTTGGTTTTCTTGTCCATAAAAAGGTTCTACTGGCAAAGAACTGAGGTGGCCGCTGACCCCATCTTTCCCCACTCAAAGGAGGCCAGCCCCCCGGCCTGCCTGCTTCTGTCCTTAGTCTACAGTGGGGACTGGCCTGACTCTGTCTTTCAGCCTTTCCTTCTTTGCAACCGCTTTCTGTACATCCTGCCCCCACTGCCTAGCATCCTGTCGCCAGTCAAGAGCGTGCCGCTCTGAACCTGTCCTTCCCCCTATTCTAGACGCCAGACTTCCTCTTCACCGGTGAGTAGCAGGGAGCCCAGTCCAGTCGCACGAGGCCTTCCCATGGCATCCTCTGGGCTTGCCTTATGCTCTGCCCACCACCTGCCCGCTGCATTCCCAGACTGTTGTTGAGTCCGCTCTGGTCTCACAGGGCAGACACCACTTCCTCAGGAACCTGCTGCACCTCAGAATGCTTCAGGTCCTGACCTTGTTCTCTAGGGGAGTCGGTGGGTCTGTCCCCCTGCGGCCCCGCCCATTCCAAGTGCAGAGGAAAGCCAGGCCAGGTTCTGGATGTAGAGCTGAGTCGCTGCCCTCAGGTTGTGGGAGGTGACAATGCCTAGCATTCCCCCTCATTGCTATTTCTTAGTGTCCTTCTTCCTTGTTAATTTCTTCTTGTATCAGGCCTCTTCAGCGAATTCCTTTTCAGGAGAGGTAGGGGTGTTGGCAGTTGGTGGCTTGTCCCATAGGGTCAGCTTCGTTAGTTGGTGTGCCCCTACCCAAGGGGGTCACAAGCAGGGGTCTACGGTCCCTGATGCTCTGTAATACCAATGAAGTAGCAACCCAAACTGGAACATATCCAAGGTCCTGGCACCTGTTCTAGGGGTAGGCCTGGGAAGACTCCATTTCTCATGGCCACCCAGAGTTCTGAGAAGGGAATGTTGCTGCTTCATCTAGCGCTGGGAGTTCCACTTGCTGGGGCAAGATGCTTGGCAGAAGTTGGCTGAAGTGATTCCGTAAAAATACACAAAATATCTAGGAAGCTGGCGTGGTGGTGCACACTTGTAATCCCAGCACTCTGGGAGGCTGAAGCAGGAAGATTGCCAGTTTGAGTCTAGTCCGGACAACCTAGGAGCCCTTGCTCAAAAGTAAAAGGGCTGGGGATGTAGCTCTAGGTGAAGGCAGTGGGTTCTGCCGCCAGGACTACACATACAGAACCAAGCCAACATGAAGATGTGCACTGCTCCTTCCCATTATCTGTGATGTCTGCACTGGGGCCTGGGTGAGAGCCAGTGGCATCCTTGTGCGCACCAGTGGCTCCCGCCCCACCTGCTACTGCTGGTCCAGACAACCCAGTTCTCAGAAGAGTGAAGTTCAGATGGGCTGGCTGAGGGCAGGAGTGAGCTTCGAAACTGTGATCAGATGTAAATGTTAACAGCAAAACCACAAATGATGAAGTTATGTCAACCCAAACACATGAGGTTGAGTCACATGTAAACTCAACGTCACAAGCGATGGGGAGGAGTCTGGCATCCAGTGCAGGATGACTCCTAGTTTCAGCAAAGTATGACACTTTTTTTAGGCCACCATGTAACCCAGGCTGGCCTTGGCTGGCCTTCACAGCAATCCCCGTGCCTCCACCTCTCGTGCTGGGATTAGACATGCACCACTGTGCCTGATGTTTGAGAAATAAGACACATCAGTATGAACAGCCAAGAAAAAAACTGCCATTTATTAAGATTCAACAAAGCGTTGTACTTTTGAAAGCAACTTTCGGTGCATGTTCTTCAACAATCACATTCTATGAAGAAAAACATTAAGAGCCACAAATTTGCTTTTTAATCTCAGAGTTACAGACATCTTAAGTTCAAAATAAAAGGTCAAAACAAAAACGGAACACAAAAACAAAGCCAAGGGGGAGGAAAAAAAAAAAGGAAGAGGAAAAAGTAACAACAGAAAGTAAAAACAATAATTCTTCCACTCCCAATTTTTAAAACATCAGAATTTTTCTACAACTCAGTGCTAACGGCAGCATGGCAAGCTGTATGTCTGGGTGTGCGCGCACGCACATGCACGCGCGTATATTTGATATCCATACGCAGGTGTGCGCACATCAAATACACAGAGTGCATGTAATGGCCACGAGATGCATCACTCTGAGGAAGGTTGGTCAGCTAAATACACTACGAACCTTGAGAAAAAGCGCCTTGAACTCAGTTTGTGCATAGTTCATGATCCTCTATAAAACCAGCTTTTGTGGATCTGCAACCTTGCAGGACTTTTTTTTTTTTTTTTTTGTTTTGATAAAACCATTAAAAAGCTAATTAAAAAAAATGTAATGCACAAGTTTCCTGATCAAGCAGGCAGGGAGCACAATGTTCATATATATTTTTTAAAACATACTTGAGGGTATGTTATTCCATTGTCTTTCGTCCTTGCAAAACAAAACATTGATCATTTTTAAAACATAAAGCAATTTTTAATATATAAAGCACTCTTCAAACATCTATTTCTTTTGAGTCCATTATTTGGTAAATATGTAACTG